ACATGTTCTACAAACCCTTTGACATGCTGCAGCTTTATGAACAGGAATAGCAGAATATTTATAATATTTTGACTAATGTTTGCATGATTAATGACAGTGTCTAAGTATTTGGAACATAATCAAGCTAAAAATAAACCACATAACATAATAAAAGTCAAAAAGCTGAATTTAACAACAGCTATTATGTTCTGTGTGATAGTTGGAACATGTCAATGTCCCTATGGATGGTCAAAATTTGGAGTCAAATGCTACAGGTTCATCTCTCAGTCAGTTACCTGGGCCACAGCAGAGGTAATGTGTTTGATATAACAGCTATAGTTTAATTATTTCTAAAGGAAATCCCAGACCCGAAAATAATTTATACAGAAAACTAATTTTGAGCAAATAATCAACCAGCCCCAGCCTCTTATGAAATGCCTTAATTTTGTGGATTATTCATTAATGTAAAAATGTTGAGTTGACCATTTCAAAACATCTTCACAGAAAAACTGTCAAAGTCTTGGAGCCAATCTTGCTTCTGTGCATAGTAAAGCGGAACATGATTTTCTGCTGAGTCTAATACCTAGTTCCTCCACACGCTGCTGGATTGGTGGCCACGATGGTGAAAATGTAGGTGTAAGACTTTAATGCTCTAAACATACTGGAAAAACTCTAATAATGATCATTTGACCCACTCTATATACAATCATGCTCCTCACACATTAGGAAGGACAGTGGCTGTGGACTGATGGATCTGCAATTGATTACAACAACTGGTGCGCTACAGAGCCTAACAACCAGAATGTTGAGAACTGCATGGAGATGCAGTGGACCGGTAAGAGCAAAATGTTTTTTTTTCTTTTTTCAGATTCAGCAATTATTCAGCAGTGGTATAAATTCATACCATTATATAAAATGCCACATTTGTCAGAACGATTTTAAGTTTAACATACAATTTTAGTTTTAATCTGTTACCACTGTAATGATTTAATCATTTCTTTCTATCCTACAGTAAACCGTTGCTGGAATGATCAGGCCTGTTCAACCTCAATGGGCTATATGTGTGCTGCAAACCTGTGAGATCAAATGCAGTCATCCTGCTTCACAGTTTCATTGATTTTACTACATTTTCTTTTTTCAATGATATCTTTACAAAAATGTTACTCTTAAATTAAAAATCACCTGATTATCTTCTGAATACCTTCTCTGTAACACTTTTCAGATCAATAAAAGCAAAGCAAATAGTGTGCGTTGTGGTGTTTATTTATTTATGTGCCAAAATATACACTTATGTTGTATTAAGAATTAAGGGTGGATATATTATAACTATAAGCAGTGGCTGTTGGTGAAAAATGTATTGTTAACCAGTAATTAATAACAATAAAAAAATGAAAATGTTAACAAAAGAGGAAAAAAAAATAAAATAAAAAGACTTAGGGCTGATTCTCACGACACTGTATGGAATTTTATATACAACATATACTGTATATACATCACTTACTCATCTCAGTCTCACAACTACTTACGAGCCACACTTGTGTCACCAGCACTGCATAAAAGAATATGCTTCCCCTTAGTCCTGGTCTCTAATATGTTGAAATGTTGTGTTCATCATAATTAATATTCCTGCAATAATCCAAATTTATTGAAAATCACAATATTTACAACCTGTTCAATAAACCCACCTGTTTGGTCAACTAACATCTCTGTGTCTTTCGAACCTTCTGACACAGCATTGCAGTAGTCGGGGGTGTAAATGTGCTAAATAAAAAAACAGCTGCTCGCTTCAGTGTACTTCTAAGCATAACACACTGGTGGCTGATAGAAAAAAAGTTACATAAGGCAGCCCTCTTCTTCAGCCTGTCACACAAGCGCCACCAAGGTGTCACGTGTTTACATTGTTTTCTTTTGTAGCAGACAAACACCAAATGGATGAGCGTTTAAAACTTTTAAAAATAACTTGGTGGGATGAGGACGGCTTCTTCACATCTTTAAAATCTCCCTGCAAGTGATTGTACACCTATATCTTTACTAGCTCTGCTACTCCACTCTCCAGTTCATTCATGATACTTATTGTTGTCATTTTGGATGTTGTTCTACTGTCTGACCCCTTTGTGGAAACCATATATGAAGCACTTCAAAGAAGGCAGGGTTCCAAAACACAACCATGGATTGCGCAATCATCATAGACCAATGGAAGCTCAAAGGTGTTCAGGAGCAAATCAAAGTTTCGAACTCACGATTGACCTAAAAAAAGGACTTAGATTTGGCCAGATTTTGTTCGAAATGATGTAGTTTCAGTTTGTTGTTTGATTTAACTTGAAGTATACCGGGCCTTAAGAGAGGCCTGCACCATAGTCTCACACTTGGTTTAATCTAATCCAGACAGATGTTTCTTTATGAAAGTAAATGCCTCAACATTAAAGTGGACACTGAGTGAGACTGCATGTCTCAGCTGTAAATGCAAGTCTTAAGTCAGACAATATAGGAATTGGCCGACTCGACCCCATGTGGAATAAGATGTAGTGACGAGCTACAGCCGATAGGCGTGTACCACTCGAACCACAGCTGCAGCCTGCAGTCGACCAGGTAAGCCGTGAGCAGTCAGGGGTGGTGCAGTCAAGGACACTTTGGTGCAGTCATGACAGATCACATGGAGTGATCAATTATGGAACATTCTACCAGAAAATTAAATTATTTGTCCTTAAAATAAAAACGTAAACACATTGAATAAAAAGTATTTCATCCCACAAAGTTTCTAAAATGGACTGGTGGTTAATTATTGCGAGTTGTTCTGTAAAGGTATGTCATTCATTTGGTTCTCAGATTTGTTTTTCTTTATTAAAAACACTACAAAATGCACAATGTCATTGTTCTTGTCCTCAGCCCAATTGAACCTACAGCTTTAAGAGTTTTGTTATGCTAAAAACGGTTATTTAGAAAAAATTTCCTTCAGAAATAGCACGTTCAAGTTGTTATCGTTCACATAAACTGAATAAAAACATGCGATTATGAATCAATTCTGCAAATTAATAGTATTTTACATTTATTTGTCCCCATGATTCTGTCAATCCTAAATTTAACATAAAATTTGTGCAATACACCTTTAAGGCTATGACTCAGAGGAAGTGAAATCATTTGACAGAGGGAAAGCTGACAGCCATTAAGGATGCGTTCTATCATGGAAATGTATGATTTTATGCTTGTTTATCTATGATTTTTTTTTTGAGGACAAGCTTAAAAGTTAGGCCCTGTCACATTTTGTATAAGTGAAAATATACATTTCTGGTAGAATGTCCCTCATGTATTTATTTTTATTTAATAACAATTTAATAATTAATTCTGTATTATTATTGCAATAACAACAAAAGAGTAGTATATACAAATAAATCAGAAAATATTATCTGTACAAAGAGATAAGTTAATACTCTTATGATGATAAGGGAATTATTAAATTAAATGTAAGTATTGAACCTAAAACAAAAGTATAAAGAGAGAAATAAAGAAAAAAAAAAGAAAATTATAGGACACATAAAATAGGAATAAACATTAATGAATATTAAACAAAACAAATTTGGGCAGTTTAAACATCTTCGCTACTATGTTAAAATTAAAGGCTTATTAAAAATTCAGTTGCAGTTATTATTTAATAAAAATACATTTTATACATATACATACATACATACACACACACACACACACACACACACACACACACACATATATATATATATATATATATATATATATATATATATATATAGTTTAAATATGCTGAAAAGGGTTTACATTTAGTATGTTTGCATTGTATAATAATATTCATTCATACATTTTCCTTTGGCTTAGTCCCTTTATTCATCGGGTCGCCACAGCGGAATGAACCACTAACATATGTTTTACACAGTGAATGCCCATGCAACTGCAACCCAGTACTAGGAAACATCCATACAGACTCAAACACACATACACTACGGCCAGTTTAGTTTATTCAATTCACCTACTGTACAGGGGTATAGTACAGCATGTCTTTGGACTGTGGGGGAAACCAGAGGAAACCCACGCCAACAAGGGGAGAACATGCAAACTTCAAACTGAAATGCCAACTGACCCAGCCAAGACTTAAACCAGCGACGCTCTTCCCGTGAGGAAACAACGCTAACCACGAGTCACCGTGCAGCCAGCATATTATGACACAAAACCTTTAAATTAATACATTTGTACAATAGCATTGATTTTATATTGTGTAGGGTAAAACTCAAAACAATGTGTACAAAGAGAAATCATGAATAGTATTTTGGATAATTGAAGTATTACCAGGAATTATAAGAGATTGTACAAACGACGTTCCCAAAATAATACCGCATGAACACTGCAAAATAAATACGCTAACACAACTTAAAATGTAAAATACATTTCTATTAGATAGCTGCACGGCAAGACTACTCTTAAAGTCTATTTGGTAATGTAATATCTAAAGGAAACCGTAAAAATAATCAGATAAGAAAAACACATTAGCCTACTCACCCCGCTTGCATTTGCCGCTCATTTCCCATGTTTTAAGGGCATTCCGTGTGCTGCTTCGATTTCCGTCTTCTATCAATAAATTTGGTGTTAATATACTCACTAAACATTAAACTCACTAAACCTTAATGCATTTGAAAGTATTTTGTTACCAGCGAGAGGGCCGTCTTGTTTGACGAACATGCAACCAACTTGACTGGCTGGCTAATCCCTTCAGAAAGTTCAGTGTCAGATTTGAATTTGTGAAATACAGTTTTTTTTTTAAATAACTTGTATAAATTTTACTGAGATGAAAACAGGCACAGCACTAAATCATAAAAAAATGGAGCTGATACTCATCAACATCAACTGATTTTCACCAAGTCATCAACATCAACCCACCATCCTTTAAACGGATAACCAGCGACATCTAGTGTTCTAGCAAAAAATGATTTGAATAATAAAGTTAGGGCAGCAGCAGTTACTCATCAGAATGTAATATTCATCTGCTTTCTTGTTCCTTTGAATCCTAGTCCACAATGCAGTCAATTCCAATGCAATTCAGCTGTCCAAAATGATTTTATATTTTATACCCATAATGGAAATTGATGAATACATTAATAAAACATATGCACATGCAGAGGTGTACACAAGTGTAAACTACATACAATAATAAATAAATTATATACATACAGTATAGTTTAATACATGAAATAGTCCATATTTATATGTATTTATATATACACAGATAAATGGGCAACAGCTCTGCAGACAACAAATTCCAGTTTGAAAGTGAACACAAAACAAATGTCTTTGCTGAACATATTATGCATGAAATATCCGACAATTTTCCTCTCACAGTGTTTTACTGTAACTCACTGTATAAATGATCTGAATAAGCCATATTTTTAAAATCATATTTCAGGTTAAGAAAGTGAAAACTTGTGCTTCTCTTGTGGTTTCAGTCTAAATTATTATTCAGTCTTATAAATTTGTACATGAAAGAATCTGATTTCTGACTTGTACTTTTTAAAAAATAAGTTCCTTAATTGAATGTGATGGTACTGTGTGATCAGACAGGACTAAACTGACAAAACACAATGGAAAATTGTGCTATTACAGCTAGAGAATGTAAATAACATAACCATAATTGTCCTTTATCAATACATACAAAAAGAAATCATATATTAGCCTTAGTGGAAAATCTCACCGAAGCAATAAAAAAAGGCATACAAGGTTGATTCTCTACTTTTGCTTCATAAGCAAACAAATTTCAAGCCTTAAAAAACAGTGAAGAGCAGGTTTATAAATGTGTTAGGCAGCATTAATGGGCTTGCATTTTGTAAACACAAGTCATTGAGAATGATGATGATGAACACGCGCACACACGCAGGCACACACAATAAAAAATAAATTAACTGTAAAAATACCTTATTCACAATTTAATTACCACACAAAAATGAGGTGAACTATAAATCACAATTTATTCATCACAAAGGAAAGGCTGTTTTTTTTTCCTGTAATATATTACTCCTTTTTCTTCCAACGTATAAAAATGGCAGAAATAAGAAAATGATCATGTTTGGCTATCATGCTATTATTATGGCACTGGCAAAGTTACAATTAACAGATAGTTTTCCATTATCTGTGATCTATGGGTGTTAAATTTAATTATGCTTTCGAATTACATTTTGGGACCTTAATCTGCCCAACAACTTTTGTTGTTTAAAATGTTTAATAAAGTGCTTCTTGTTGTAACCAGTGCTGGGAAAAGTTACTTCTGAAAGTAATGCATTTCAATATTGAGTTACTCCCCCCAAAAAAATAACTAGTTGCGTTACAGTTATGTTTTATGGTAAATAATGTTACATTACTTTAGAGTTACTTTTGCGTTATTTTTATTACCTGGCTGAGGCTTGATCTCTTTCAGAACTATTTTTTTCTTTCTTTTTAAATAGAGGAGTTCTGCAATTAACAATGCACTGTTTCACCTTAATTTACCTTAAAAAAACAGATAAACTTTTTGACCCCAGAGCTATACATGCCGTATATACATATTAAAGAAAGTTTAAAGCAGTGTGTTTGCTACTTTTGTACTATTTGTCTCAAGTGAAATCATTGTACATTGTACAATCCCCTTTTCTTTAATGTTAAAAATTATGAACACATTTTGTTATTGACAGCATGATTCATTGTGACTTCTTTCATTTTAGTTTAACAATTTATTTTTAAAAGCTAATTAATTAAACTAACTCAAATATTATAACTTCAATTTTGAAGGTAATGCATTACACTGTACTTGTTACTTAGAAAAGCAATACCCAAACACTGGTTATAACACATTATGATATAAATCTGGTAATGAGGTGCTTTTTCTGACCTATTTCTCTCTCTATCCTATTTCTTATCCAATTTATAATTTTGAAACTCCTAAATATTCATTTTATTGACATCTCAGCAGTATTGAAAGCAGACAAGATCTTTTTGCCGGTGCAGTTTCGCAATCCTCAAACAGTGTTTCCAAACTTACCTGATCTCATGATAATGAATAAACGCTCATTTGTGTTGTGGTAAACTGATAAAACATACAGGCCTCATAAGCATAGATATGCTAAACAATATCTGTTTGCAAAAGCAAAATGTTGACGTTTATCACAGTACTTAACTAGCATTTGTTCTATGCAAAACGAAACATACAGACAAGGAGCACAAATGCACAATCACACCAGTCAGCACTAGGTCATCAGATAACATACATTACAGGTACACTTTTTTTCTCTTGTTTTTTGTTCTCTTCTGTTCTCAGTAATAACAAATATTGTATCAAAATACATACATCATGTAAAATGCCATTTATAAACTGTGAAAAAGTGAAAAAAGAATTCCAAAACAAAATAGTACAAGTCCCAAATTTACAAGCGTAGAAAAGCAAATGGACGAGATCAACGCACTCCATCAGACAGACGTCTCAGACTGTAGTTGTAGTACAAACTTGTGTGATTTGGGATGGACGTACTCCTCTGACAGTTTGAGGTGCGGGATGGTTTTGCTGGTGACCACTAGGCTGAAGTCAGATGATTTCAGCTGGAACTCAGAGCCGTTCCGGAGGGGACTGGTGACGGATGCCTCGCTGACCAGTGTCCAGTGGCGAGTCTGAGAGCTCTCTCTCCCGTACTGCAGCGTGGGGCCGGCGGTCAGATAACTCTCCAGAAACGCCTAGAAGAGAACAAGAGTGCCCATATCTGTTCACTCATAGCTGCTGGTGCTGTAAGGACAGCTGATCTGAAGAGATCTTGTGTGAAGTATTTGGAACTGGGAATTACATTTTTTCATTGCATTATTCAATAACATTTTAGCATTTTAATTATAAATACAATAACTTAATAATTCTCAAATAGCTGAAAATAGTTCATTTGTTTCATTAAGGAAACAGATTGTGAGATTACACCTTAAAAATAAACAAATATTCATGAGAAAAATTATAAACTTTATAAAGTTTATTTGCAGGGCAAGAGAGGAGTTTGAGTTCAGGTAGATCCCTGCTGTTAGCAGCTAATGACCAATTAGGAATTGTTTTGAAGGGATGACTACTTACAAGGAGCACATCTATGGTACCGATATGGATTAGTCAATTAACAAAAGCCACATGTTTTTGGATGGTGGGAGGAAACCGGGGCACCCAGGGGAAACCCACGCAGGCACAGGGAGAACATCTAAACTCCACACAGAAATGCTGACTGGCTTGGTAAGGACTAGAACCAGTGACTTTCTTGCTGTGAGGCAACAGTGCTAACCACTGGGCCACCGTGCTGCCCATCTAGGAAAGGAGGAGGAGGAGAAGTACGGGTGGAAGGGGGGATTTTTCAAAACGAAGATGACTGTGATATGGAACACTTAGGTTATTTATGGTCACTCAGGAATCGTATGATTAGTGAATCATGAGTTGGCTAGTGCGGGACCAGCTGTGATCAATCATAAGCATGTGGTTCTTTTGAAATTAGTTTCTAAATAAACTTTACTTAAGTAATGGACCATAAATTGATACAAAAAAAATATGTGAGTAATTCTGGGCAAAATAAAAGAAACCCAAAGTTTTTGTCCTTTTTTTCTTATTTTATGTATCAAAATTTAGATTTATTTTCTTTTTAGAATTACTTATCTCATAATATTGATTTATATCCCTGAATTGTGAGAAAAAAAAGTTTACAGAAATGTGAAATGCAAAACTGCAATTATGACATTTTTTATTATTTAATCCTGTTACAGACACTTGAATCATATGAATTTGCAGCTTATTTACTGATGTCAAAAGTGAAAAGTCTATAGAATCACGTTTCACACTGTTGTCTGTGTCTTTGTCTCACCTTTGGGGTCATGTTGTTTGTAATGCAGAAAGCCAGGTGTGCCTGAATGCTGTCCATGCTGTGGCAGTGCTGCTGGCGGGTGGTGCGGAGGTATTTCTGCAGTGCTCGAGCCATGGAGGGAAAGATGGCCTGCGCCGCCTCACGTGGATCCATCTCATCTCCTGGTGGCTTCTTTTTCTCCTCATCCTGAAGCCGTCTAACATGTGTGAACGCCTCCTCTACTGCCACCACCAGTCTAGAGACACAATGATGTATATTAAAGAGCAGACCATATGTGTTTTATAAACTGCTGGTGTCCTGGGGTTTTCAGTAGCAACTGAATCTGAATCTTTATGGTTTACAAGGAATGATATGGAAAAAATTTAATATTCAGCAAGCTGCAAATCTGCAAATGACAATGCCCTGTGAATGCAACAGGAGAATGGTCAGGTCAATGATTTCAGCTGACAGAAAGACAATAACTGAAATAAAGGTCAACAAAAGAGCATATTTGAACAAACAACACATCAAAACTTGAAGAAGATGAGCTACAGCAGCAGAAGTAGAGCACAATGATGATACATACTCCTGTGGTTTTGCAATGGTGTGGGGGATACTTTGCACAACTGGCACCCTTACCTACGTTGCAAAATTTAAACACCACAGCATAATATTTCTGCTTACCATGTCCTTCCCTTTATGACCTTGGTGTACTCATCTTGTGATGCTACTATCAGCAGGATAACGCACCGTGTCATAAAGCTTAAATCATCTGAAACTGGTTTGGGAATGAACTGGCATGAGAGATTTCCATCAAAGATGTTGAGCTGACAAAACTGCAGCAGCTGGGTGATACTATCATGTCAGTATGGACCAGAATCTCAGAGGAATGTCTGTATTTATGACGCAAAGAATTAAGGCAAACAGGGGCCAACACAATATTAGAGGTGGCTTTATAAATTGGGAGATGAGTGTATTTTAAACTTAACAGCCACTATCTAGTTACACTATACAGTATCCATTTTCTCTTACCGTGCTTTGCGCTTACGGACTCGTCTATCATGCTCTGCTTCCTCGTAGTACAGCTCATTATGACTGGTGTCTCTCTGTCGTGCGGCAGCTGCCATTTTTGCTCGAGACTGAGCCGTTGCAGCATCACTTCCAGCACCTGTTGAAAAACAGTAGAGTAGGAAAAATTATCTTCATATCTTTTCATATCATGTAGTTACTAATCGTTACTTCTAACTACTAATTATGTCAAGCTTTCATATGGTACTATAAATAATTACAAAATACAGGTCAAAATACTGTATATTATAATCTACACTACCTGACATACGTCTTGTCATCTATTCAAGTTTTAGAAACAACATATAATAACTTGACTTTTAGTTGATCATTTGATATCAGAAGTGGCTTATATGAAAGGCAAAGGCCTCTAGATTTTACCAAAATAAATTATGATCATTCCTTGATATTTATTTTTACAGTGAGGTCTGACTTTGCTTAGACAAAAGTCTTGTCACATTATCAAAATTAATGTACAGTATAGAATATAAAGTCGATGTGCAGTGGAAAAAGAAATAATATTGTGTATGACTCCCATAATCTTAGACCACTGCATCCATACATCTCTACAATGACTCAAAAACTTAATAAAGTCATCTGGAATGACAAAGAAAGCATTCTTGCAGGACTCCCAACGTTCATCTTTGTATTAGTCTACAATGCCTCCATCATCTTACTCCAGACATGCTCAATAATGTTCATGTCTGGTGACTGGGCTGGCCAATCCTGGAGCACCTCGACCTTCTTTGCTGTCAGGAACTTTCATGTGGAGGCTGAGGAGAAGGAGCGCTATCCTACTGAAGAATTCCTGTGGTTCTCTCCTCTCCTGTGGTTTATAATGTAATGGGCAGCACAAATTAGTATGTGTCCCTATACTAATTGTAACCCCAAACCATGATTTTTCCTTCATCAAACTTGACTGATTTCTGTGAGAATCTTGGCTCCATGCAGGTTCCAATAGGTCTTCTGCAGTATTTGTAATGATTGGGATGCAGTTAATCAGATTATTCATCTGAAATATATACCTTTTGCCAAGTCAAGCTATTAACAGTTGCTCTTCCAACTGGGGTCAACGACAAGACTTTTGTCTGATAGTGTATTTATACTATATACATATAAATGTTAAACTAAATATCCCATTACTTAAACACTAATAATTTTTCCTATGTATAAATCTTAAATTTTTTTTCATCATTCACTGTGTTCGCCATTAGTAGTGCCAGACAGAAACTGCAGACTTTTTTTGCTATTTCTGCAGAGAGTTTATGATCTGCATGAGAGTTTTAAATCTGCAGATTTATGCAGAATGATTTTGGAAGTATCATAACTAAAAGCTTAATATATTGCATAAAAAATAATAGCTTTTTAACTTTTGTAATAATAGCTTTTTACAATACAAATCCAATTAGATCCACTTTATTTGATAAAAAAGCAAGTCTGTCATACAATATCTCTACTAAAAGACTGTATTGTAAATAAATTATATGAACTTTTCATATTAGTCGATAAGTATACTGAAATTAATTGAAAAACAATAAATATAAATTTACACACATTTACACATGTAATTAAAGAGACTCAATGATGGGCTAAAAATCTGCCGAAATCTGTGGAATTCTGCGCACGCAGATTCCGTGTGGGCCTAGCCATTATGTTTGCATATATTACTTACCAAATATAGGTAGGTCATTTACCAACCAAAAGTTATTTATTTTTAATTATTATTATTTGAAATAAATAAATTTATTTATTTAAAAAAAAGCATTTAATCAATTAAAAGTGACAGAGCTAAAATATTTCCCTTTTAAATTAAGGATGTTCTTTTGATTAAAATATTACAATTTTAGTTGCTTTTAACATTACATTGGTAATAAGAAATGTTTTTGAGCATTAAACCAGATAATTATACTAATTTCTGAAGGATCACCTGGCAGACTGAAGTAATGATGCTAAAAACTAAAAAGAAAAACTAGATAGATGGACAGACAGACAGAATCCTACCCCCCCAAAACTTGACACTGTATCTACTGCAAAAGACCCCCTAGCACTCAAGTACATCTTTATGTGGAATACGTTTGCGATTATCATACGCAAGGAATATTAACTGTGTGCGCATAGTAATGTAGTGAACAGAAACATTTATGCATATTTATCCATATTCAGGTCACAGATATAATTAATAATGCATGACAAGGGTAGCATGACTCTCCTCAGTAGCAGGGCAGGTCTGTGATCTCTAGCTCACGGAGTAACCTTCAGAAGTCACATTTTCTGAATATGAACCAACAAATCAGCCTCAACTGAGCTCTGATGAATAACATGACCAAGACAAAACATGTGCATGCAAACACACACAACATTAACATTTATGAGAAATATGACACTAAACTTCTTACACACAGACAAAAGCATGTTGTTAAGTGTAGACTATTCCAGAGCACTTTCAAACCAGAGGAGAAAAAATAGTAGTGGCTTTTTGGGGGGGAAAGAGGGGGGTATAGACTTCCTCGTGATGCATTATTAATAATCTGACAATCCGTGCAAAGCACAAAAAGAGCTACACGCTGCTGATTTTCATATACATGCACACACACTCTCTCTTTCTCTCTGACACACACACTCTCTCTTTCTCTCTGACACACACATTCCTGGCCTGGTTCAATAGCCACAGGCATAAAGGAAGGCTTGAGTGCTTTAGGGGGAATCTTGATCCCAAATATGCATCTCTGGATCAGGGTGTGAGTACGTTTCTTGTGTTGACAGCACATCGTAAATGTCAAAAAGAGTGAGAGAAAAAAGGGAGAGATACTGGGTGTGTTGAGAACTGGGGTGAGTGGGAATTATTGACTTTTAATGTGCAGATTTTTACAGCTTACTGTGGGAATTGCAAGTACAAGTGCCTTCATTTCACCTGAATCAATTTATCATCAAAGTTTGTGACCTTGTGCACGGTGTACAATGATTGCATGCACAAGCAAATAACTCTCATGACACGTGGAGCATTTCACAGCTCAGTGTTTCAGTGAAAGGGTTTTTGAATGCATTTCATCGTCCGAACTTACAATCGAAAAGATAGCTTTTCAGTTTGGCTTTAAACTCTGCAGAGAGAAACACAGATGGGGTATTAATTGATGGTGGAAACGGATTGACATGGCAGAGTTGCTGCATTAAAAGTGTGAATGGGTGTTTTGTTAAAGGGATAGTTCACCCAAAAAATTAACCCATTTACTTACAATCAAGTGGTTCTAAACTTTTATGAGTTTCTTTTTTCTGTTGAACATAAAACAAGATATTCTGAATAATGTCGGGATAAAAAGAAGCCATTGACTTCCATATTAAGAAATAGAATTGAAGTCAATGATGGTTTTTCTTCAGTATATTCTTCAACAGATCTTCATTCATGAAACTGAAATAATTTGGAAAAATATGTAAAGTAGGATATGCTGACCAAATAAAAAAAAATGTGGTAAACTATAACTTTAGGTCTACCTCCATTTAACAAGTCTAGGATGATATTATTTCTCAGATGTTCATTCATTCATTTATGTTTTACGCAGCAGATGGCCTTCCAGCTGCAACCCATCACTGGGAAATTCCCATGCACTCTCATTCACACACATAAACCATGGATAATTTAGCTTACCCAATTCACCTATAGCACGTGTCTGTGGGCGAAACTGGAGCACTGGGAGAACATGCAAACTCCACACAGAAATGTCAACTGGTCCAGCTGAGGCTCGAACCAGCGACCTTCTTGCTGTGAGGTGACATCACTACCCACTGCACTACCGCGCCACCTTCTTAGATGTTGCTTTTTTTAAAATCCTTTGTTAATCCTTCCTGATCCTTAGAATAAAGTTTGCTCAAGCAAGTGAAAACTGTACAAATAAGAATACACTGTTGATACAGTATACAGTGATAAAGATCAAGGGTAATCATTTAACAAATCAAAAAAATTAATTGTTAACACTTTCTAAAAAGTCTGTATTTTAAATGAAATAAAATAGCATTAATGTATTATTATAAACAACATCATAATGTGTTGTAATACCTTTTGAGTAATTGTAAGGACAGTAAATGCTGCTATTGCACTGCTGGTTAGACCTAAACTGCATTTCGTTGCATTGTACTTGTACATGTGTAATGACAATAAAGTTGAATCTAATCTAATCTAAATAATACTGAACAAAATTTTATATGCTGATTGGGCTAGTTCTCCCAAAAATGAAAATTACCTCATCATTTACTCTACCTCATGTGGTTTTAATCCTTTATGAGTTTCTTCTGTTAAACACAAAAGAAGATATTCTTCCATAGTAGAAAAAAAACCATGGAAGTTAATGGGTGCCAGGAACCAGCATTTTTCTAAATATCTTCTTTTGTATTTAACAGAGGAAAAAGAAAAAATCATGTAGGTTTTGATCAATTAAAGGGTGAGTAATTCAGTATAACAGCCTGATCTCACGAGAAAACGTAAGTATTTTATGTTTTGTCAGTTTAGTGGCTAATTCATATAATACACAGTCAGAAATGTCATAATTAAAGTGATGATCTAAATAGCAATGCAGCAAACTGACACTTTTTAAAATAAAATAATTGTTCACACAACACTATAATCATGAATGATAATTGATTCAGTATAAATGGTGCAATACCATTTTAAATGTCTTTTTATCTTGTTTATCTTGACATTTTAACCCCTGTTAATGTCACCTCAAAAACAATTAACATCCATAAGTAAACCTACAGAACACACTATAAATAAACCCACTTATTTGCTTTTAAAATTATTAATTATGAATTTAAAGGGCACCTATGATGAAAATCAACTTTTGGAAGCTCTTTGGACAGAACTGTGTGTATGTTTAGTGAGTCATATTGGAGTCATATAAACACAGTAAGTCTCTTTTTTTAAAATTTCCTGACGTTAAAATAGAACCAAAAACCAGTGATTTTGAGATCCACCGCAACGTGAGGTGGGAGTGCAATTTTTACCTCACAAAGAAATGATTGACAGGTTGCATGTTTCTAAAAAAACATGTACACACGTCCACAGAATAATTATTTTGCAGATAAACTGGGATTAAAATATGTTTCAACTCTCTGTGATTTTTATAAGTTTTATAAGTTTAAAACGTCTCAAAAAAAGCATGTTTGTAATAAAGTAAAATCACTATGTAATTCTTAACAGCTGTAATCATTATGGCAGCACAGTGTCAGTAAACGCATATGTGTGTGTGTGTGTGTGTGTGTGTGTGTGTGTGTGTGTGTGTGTGTGTGTGTGTGTGTGTACTGCAAATGGAATTTCGTTTCAGAAAGGCTTGAATTAATGCCACCAAAAATACATGAAATAAACTGACTAGATGTTTTTGACAAATGAGCTGTATTTCAGCTTCATCGGTGGCGGACAATCACTGATGACTGTTTATCTAACGTAACACATACAAAAGCAGACATGCACGTGGCAGTGGTGGGCAGGGAGAAGCAGTTCATTTGCATTTAAACCCACAGGCTATAATTACAGCCACACTGTAGTCAAGACACCAAAATGGGCAGATTCTGGAGGCTATAACAAATTATCTGATGGGTATTTTGAGCTGAAACTTTACAGACACATCATCACCTTAGAATTATAAGGTTCTATGCGCGTTTGGAACGATTTTGAAGTATTGAGCTTCAAAGTTTTTGCATTCCATAGCAAACAGTATGTGTGTAACAATTGATTTTTAAATAAAAAGTCTTAAAATGTAAACAACTTTCCATAATGAAAATAATTTGTCAATAATTTGTCACAAGAATATATCAATAACTCAATTTTGACAAAAATGTCAGATAGAATCTTATAATTATAAGGTGACGACATTCTAGAGACACCAAAGGCTTATCTTACATCTGTTAAAAGGGGTAAAATAGGTGCCCTTTAAAAAATAAGCGTTAAATCTTATGTCAGTTTGGTTTATCAAATATAAAGCTCTAATATTTTACATTTAACGTACATTGCATTGCTCAGATAATTTACTGTAATGCTGAAAGAACCAGACAACAATCGTTCATTCTTAATCCTCATTCTTTTGATTGGCAGGTTGAGACATTGATTTTGTCGTGTTTTCTTTTCTTCAGAAGCTTAAAAGGTAATTCTTTGGACAATAATCTTTAAGTAGGAGACATTGATTCTTAAATCTAGGAGAAATATTTAATATAAGACCACCATATTTATCAAAGTGAACACCTTTCATATAGACAACTTTAATCAACTCAATCACAAAGTCTTGTTTAAGAAATCAAGCATAAGGTCAGAAAACAGTCAGACTCAGATTAAACTCACCATCCACATTATAGACTTTCAGCCCGGCCAGATGTTTAGCCGCCCTGGACTTAGCAGCTGTCAGTAGGGCAGGGTTGTGAACTGTGAAATCCTTATAATAGTGCTCAAGAATTACCAGGGCTGCCCGCTGAATACTACACAGAAAAAAAAAAGAGAGAGAGAGAGAGAGAGAGAGAGAGAGAGAGAGAGAGAGAGAGAGAGAGAGAGAGAGAGGGTGAGAGAAACCTTGTAATGTTCACTGATAATAGGGGTTTGGTTGTCTATTCAAACACAATCCCATCATGCATTTCATTAAACGGACATCAGATACTAACAGATTTCCCTCTGACATATGTGTGTGTGTGTTGTTGCTTGACTCTGCAGCAGCACTGAATCAGAAATGTTCAGCCAATGAAACAATGAAAGCAGGAACAAAGGAAAGCGTCGGGCAGGAGAAAGGAAGGGAGAGGGGAAGCAACGCAGGGCAAAGTAGGGAGTGTCTGTAATGGAGTGATTAATGGACCATTTTCCCTTGGCCCAAACTCAACTCATTATTAATACATTAAACAGCACACACACACATACACAGTTTATGTATGTAGACAATATCTCAGCCCAATTAGAGGCAAAACTATCCCTGGGAAAAAAAAAATTACCACAAAAAAAGTTTTTTTAATTTATGCTGTAGCTGTGTTATTGTTTTATTGTTTTATTTCTGCTGATGATGACACTTCTTCTGAATTTAAATTCGTAAAAAAATATTTTTTAAAATGTTGTTAGATGATTTAGCATTTTTGCCATGTAACAATTCTTTGTCATCGTGATCGGCTGATACCGAATACAGATTCTGATGCTTTAGGCTTTATATAACCTAAATATTTTTTAAAGCACATTTTCCCTCTAAGTATGATCCTGATGTTGAGATCTCAACTTACCTAAGATAATAAATGAAGGATGTTGCATATAATCCTTTCAACACATCTCTTATAACCATTTAGTGTGGACATGTCATGGTCAAAAGCAGCTTTACTCTATCTGTAAACGAACACTTGCGATCGGTTCATGTGATCGGCCAGATTAGAGACTACCGATTATATAAAAAGTGATTATCGGCCGATACTGATCTCTGGCCGATCGATCAAAGCATCCTTATAATTTTCTGAAAAGAAAAAAAGAAATCTGAAAGATATAATTACTCAACCCCCTACTTATAAATACATAACTACACACTTTTTTTCTTCCACGGCTGCACATAAAGACAGAAGTACTAAACAGAGCAAATTAACATGAGTCTGCAATATCCTAAAAGTGCTGATGGGAGTGTGAAGTTAATCAGTTGTTTCTACTGACAATTTGGCAAATTGAAGAAGCCAGACACAGAATATATTTCTATAATCCCAAAAATAATCTGACAAGAGTTCAAAAGACCTGTTATTGCTTTTTAATAAAATGTAACACTAATTTAAGACTTAAAAACTTTTACTTCTCTGCCTCCTTCCAGCAGCCATGTCAAGAAAAAGGGTTAAGACATGCTTTATATGCATTAAATGTCACAAATGCCAGTATATAGACCTTAGCAAATAACCTTGCCACCCGTTTCACAAAACTTAAAAAACGAACTACCGCTTACAGTATGCGAGGTGTTAGCGTCTATGGGGCTGAGATTAATTTGACATTATTCTCTCCTCTGGCTGCCGTCATCAGTCTCACACTATTTTTTTTTATTTTTTTGAAAGTGTTATTAACACCATCATGAAGTTTTCTTTTATTATTACAGCAAACAGGGCTGTAAAAAATATTTGTTGTACTCTCCCATTTACTGCGCTTTAAGTTTACCCAACCATGATGCCTTCTACTACTGAGAAACCTGGAAATGTGAAAAGGGTTCATACTCTCCTCTTGTAGTTTTTGTAAATTCCTGCAACTAATTGTTCTATAAGAACACTTCACATCACTTTTTCTGTCTTTAATAATTGCTGACAGAAGCATTTTTGTACCAAAATTAGGCAAACTGTTGGTAAATCTGGGATTTAGTTGGTTTAATAAACATTATCAAAAATAAAAAGTATGCAACACTTCTTGGATTTCAATAAGGAACTGCAAATGCTTGTTTATTTGTTAAAGGTGTTTATTTGTATCAAGTTTCTTGAATATGTCAGTTCACAGAATCAGAAGTAGAAAATTTTTGGAACTTTTTTGGTACTCTAGAGTGAATTGAGTTTAATTGGAACTTATAATATACAGAACTATAAAACATTTAAACAGCATATATCATATGTTTTTAAGTTAGTTTCACAACCTAATCATGAGAGGAGCATGTGACATGATTGATCGTGGCTGGTCTCTCATCCGCACTCATTAATAAACCAATCAGATTATTCCAAACTTAATAAATAACCTGTATCACCTTACTCCCTTATCTTTGACCAGGCAAGAGCTCTGGTTGGGTTCTCTTCCAGGACAGCATGCCAAACCTGCTATTATTATCAAGCAATATCTAAGTGTGAACTCTTGCATTAGTGTTTGTTTATAAATATCAGCTGGTACCTGAGTTGTCCCATGTTATAGTGGTGAGTTTCTCCATCAGTGGAGCGAACGACACATAGAGAGAAGCAGGGCTGCAGATGTCGGATCTCCAGCAGAACCACTGCCAGGTAATGGATGAACAGCAGAGCATCCACCAGTGATACTGCAAACTGCACTATGCCTTGGTAGTTATCATCCTGTCAATCAAACACAGTGCAACAATACACCAAGGGGATCAAAAAAACCTGCACTGGGTTCAGTGGTGTTCTTCAAAGAAAATAGATGCTGTTTTATCTTCATTTTCAGGATATATATAGTATAGTCCCACTTTGTAGTGTATTGTACTGCTTATTGGGTGAAGAGCTTAGGTTTAGGGTAGGTGTAATTATAGTTGAAACTACAGAAATTAAATACTGATTTAGATGCAGGAAATTATTTTTCAATATTAATACAATGTGAAATACATTAATGTGAATGTACTGTGTTAAAAGATTATATTAAATGTACTGTAAGTAGGCCAACATAGTTCAATGCACTAAATATAAAGTCCTTTCATTTTAGGGATGTCCAGATTCAATTACATGATTGGAAATCAGACCCAATCACATGGTTTCATACTCGCTTGGAATTGGATGTTACCTCCCGATCAGGACTCGAATATATATGTACATTATTTTTTAACACATCTATAGTTATGCGTTGGCACAGAGCTAGACCTCTTTCATGACTTCACACAGAAACAGCAACGCATCCGGCATGACATCACTTTGTTGCAGAGACGCTATTGGTTAAATGCCGGCAAAGTAGAACTGATGTTATTTATTACTTAAATGTTTAATCTACCTCACAGAAGTGCTGTGTTTGTAAATAGAAGTGTTGAATGTTAAAATAAGGTAAATTAGACATAAAAAATATAGAACATCATGGATCTGTTCCTTCTCTCTTCTTTATTCTTTTTATGGATTATAGAAGTATCGGATCGGGTTTTGGTATTAGTAGATACTCAAAATCAAATGACTCAGACTTGAGGGCAAAAAAATCTGATCGGGACATAGTATTATTACATTTGTTTCTACAGAAATATTTCAAATTCTTCAATGCAGTTAAACTCTCATGCACTTTTATAATCAAAAATCTGAATCCTACACGTTCAAATGTCAAATTTAAGAAAAATTCATGGAAGATAAAAAAAGTTTCTACTACTAATAAGAAGAACTTCAAAAACTCCTAAACCTTGAATGCTGATGTAAGCATCATATTACATATATATTCTTAACTTCTTGTAAATTATACTGTTAGATGTGTAATTTAAGTGCAGCATCACAAAGAATAATAATCACATGTGTATGTTAGAGTATCTACTCTAATAAAAGACAATTTGCACATCTACAATTTAGCAGATCTCATCAAGAACATGTTTCTCTTGCCACTTTTTTTATTTTCAGACATGTGCCCTTACCTGTGAGTCCAATATGCGCACTCCAAAAAACAGCCAATAGGACAGCAGCAGGAGGAGTGTCAGTAAACCCAGCAGGGCACGAAACACTGCTATCCTGGGCAGAGAAGCTCTTGTCGGCCGCATAAACAGAGCCCAGCCGGCCAGCAGCAGGATGAGGAGCTTGAAGGCCAGTGAGAGAAACAGGCCTTCACATGCAGTACCGCAAGTCTGCAGGCGCTCCGGCCACATTAACTGTGGCAAAATCAGGAAGGACAGAGGGGTGACCAGGACCAGCAGACCCAAGAGGAGGGTCAGGGCCAACGGAAGGAAGCGTATACAGTTTAATTTCTCAACTGGACCCTCCGTGTCCTTCCCAAAGCCTGCCAGGTCCTCTTGAGACAAGCTGTGGTCTGATGTTCCAGTGACCGCCGTGGTGGTTTCACCCCAGTTGTCATCCTGTCGAGAGATCAGTCGCTTAGATCACACGCATAAAAAATTCAACATGCTCCTAAAAGCCCCATTCATAACCCAAGCGCAGCACTCAGCTATTGATCAGCCCACGTTTCCCTCGGTGCTGATGAAATGACAAATCTGTTAATCCAGACAGACAGTATGGAAGTACCCAGGTCTCCCTCATCAGCATATATTAATGACAAATACTCAAAACTCACATACATCTGCATATGAATGAGCCGGAGAACTGAGAGGCTGACTGACAACAAATGAAAACGTTTTAACAGTAAGACGTCTGAGCGAACGCCGTCGGAATGTGAAATGCCGCGCAAATTAGAATTCCATTATGGAATATTATACGCAGTAAGAACAATAATTCATCTGCAACTATATTTATTTATGGATTCGTCTGGTTATTTATGGATTTATTTCTATGGGGAGAGACTGTGTTTTGTATGGTAATGTAGTTTAGCCAATTTAATCAGAACTGAGAAAGTTTCCATTTTCTGGAAAATGGTAGCAATAATATTATCATAATAATAACAGACAAAACAAAAAAGTGCAGCACACAGAAATTACTGGAATCTAAATGACCTGAAGAACCAAAAGTCATGATTTTTTTTTTTTTTTTTTGGACAAAGTAAGGCCCGATCCCAATTCTATTTTTGTACCCCTTCCCCTTTACAACCGAGGGTTAAAGGGAAGGGCTTCAAAATTTACCTCTAAAAGAACTGGGACAGCACTACAGCACCTGCACACGTCATCATATGTCATCTTGGTTTATGTGAGATCAGACGAATGCGACTGCTGTAGTTATTCTAGTTGCGTTATTTTTGGTATTTATCTTTAGGAAATCACTAAAGGCATATATCATGTTATCATAATAATCGAATGTGGCTATAAGATCATAACTATACTGTGTATTTACACAGTGGCCATATTAATCTTTGTAAACACACAAAAACATTAACAGTATACAGTAGCAGACACTGTAAAAGCTCATTCTTAGCCACTAGACATTACTGACAGGGTATTCGAGTGTCATCAAGTGTCAGAATGTTGTGGGACTGCTGTACAGGAGTTATTATTAAAGATTAAAAATAAAAAAAAATTTGCTTGGTGCATCTGACTTAATAAGACTTAACTTTATAGCCTTTGTGTTTTGTGCCTTATGTTGTTATGAAATAACTTATCAAGAAACAGTAATGTGCACACATCTAGGATGCTTGATTAAAAACAAACACTGAAAAAAGGATCAAAAGAAAATCGACACACTGCCAATTTAGCTCTCAAAAAGTTTTTAAAGTGACAACGTTCTGACCTACAGTCAGTACATGGTCTTCATCAGGTTAAACAAGACAAATGAAGAACTCAAGAAATAGTAGTACAGCTCTACACATCACACCTGCAAACAATAATGACACCACCAACTAACAAGCCAGTAAACATGAATGAAATAACTTCACATGAATCTGTGTGCTGACGACGTATGCATTACTAGTGTACTAAAAGATCACATTCTTTAGTAGTACGTGCAGTGATCAATGTGTTGACTGCATTTCTTTAGCAGAAAAAATTAGCCCAAGTGCTAACTTAATGTTTCATTAATAAGGAAATGAAAGTGTTGGCTGCATTTGTTTTGCACTAAAATTATTCATTGGTAATGTTTTTGCAATGTGTTATAAGCTTTCAAACAGCATGTGTATATATTTTCTGCAAATAAATGGCAAATTGTGGCATAACATGAGCGTCTTGTGCTTTACTGATGACGTCACAAGTGACTAGTCGACTCGAATTTGATAACATAAAAAAAAAATCTTTCTTTCCAAAAATCTTAAGTTGTTTAACTCCTACTTCATATATGTACAGTAAATTCCTAAAATAACTACATCCTCTTCAATTTGTTTTTAAATACAATTAATCTTTGCTATAACTACAAGCATCATTGTTTATTGTGCCTAAATGATTTAAACTTGACTGGAATGTTTGGACAGATTCAGTCCTTAAAAATTCACTGTGTTCTAGTTAATCTTACAACTTGTGAGATGTTTACATCTATGGTTTTTTCTCACTGGACAATAAAAAAAGACAGAAATGGGTTTTCCCTTCTACTTTGCAAAACATGCACCAATGTTCAAAAATAACTTCATGAGTGATCATGAGATGCGAGGAAGTGGCAGATGGAAAAGGTTAAAGAAGCGAATTGTGTTGTAAAAGCTTGTAGAAACACAAACACAGATGCACATGGGTGTCTTTATTTAAAAAATAGAGCTCATGAGGTAACAAGATCAACATCCGAAAGAGTTTATCTAGCAGCAGAGATAAAACACTGCTGTCATCTCAACAGATTAACAACAGACTGCAGTTCAAACTTATTATCAAACATATTATCAAACATAATAAACAGCTACTGTATATGTGACTAAAAAGATTGAAGGGTGAAATATCTTTTCATCACAAAAAGACAATTGAAAACCATTTAGCAAGTCTCAAATTGTTCAAAAGCGCTAAGACTTTTGTTTATAAAGCACTAAACACCCCAAGTGCTTCATTAAAAATGAACAAATGAGTGGTTTTGTTGAGTTATATCTGTATAAAGTCACTTCTTGCATTAGAAACCAAAATAAAATGCAGTACCTGACCATTTTTAAGGACCACATTTCATTTTTTGCTAGTTTAATCTTAAGATTTTAAATATCTACTTAAAATATACATAAATACATTAATTATCCCTACTAGTGTTCTCCTTCCTTCAATAAAAGTCTCATACAACAAGTCAGGCTCATTGTGATTAAGTTTCAGTCATATATTTTTAATGAATCTTATGAACCAGTTAAACGTTGTTTACTCTAAATGCTAATTGTATTTGGGTACTAAATAATTTGTTTTTATCTAGCCCTTGTGAAAGAACAATAAACTGTTTTATTAATTATTCAAATCAAATAGCTACTGTATATGTGATAAAAGATTAAAGATTAAAGGGTGAAATATATTTTGAATTGAAATAGTATTTATTAATGAGTCTGTTCACTCCAAAAAGAAAATTGAAAACCATTTACCAACTCTTATATTGTTCAAAACCCTGAGACTTTCGTTTATAAAGTACTAAACACTCCAAGTGCTTCATTAAAAATAATTTTTTAGGAACAAATTATTGGTTTTATTCAAGATGTCTGAAAGAAACGATCCCTTTATGTTTGAAATGACAGGATGAGTAAATGAAGATAACATTTTTACTTGAGGGTTAACTAATTGTTTAATATGCCAACATATTCGAGGCCATTGTTTCAAAGATCAAGCGTAATTGTCATGATTTCCCACAGCTTGATAGTTTAAATAGGCAAGGGCATTATGGAGAATAAATTAACCAAAGCATTTTAACATTTTATCTCTGTGTTAATTGAAAAAGTGAATTCTTTGTGGCCAGAGGGGAGACTATTGTACAGCACAGTGGTCTGATCTGTGCCATTTTGCCCACGGTCCACATTACTGAATGTGCTTCCCCCACCGAGACAGACAAAAGAAGCACACAGCGCAGCTAATATACTGTGTGTGTGTGTGTGTGTGTTCAGCTTGACTCGTGTACAGCTCATTTCCCTCTCACAGAGCCATGGTCGGCACTGTAGAATGAAAAGCAGGAAGAGAGAGAGAGTTAGCGGTAAACAAGTGCGAGAAACCCCTGCACCTCTCTCCACCCTCCATCCTTTTCCTCTCATTTTTCCAAAATAAACTGCCATTGGCATTTCACTCAGGTTTACAACTTGGATTTGCAGCATTGCAGGCACAGGAACACAAATAAAAACAATGATATGAAAAATGCAGTTATGTAGTATGTAACAGGTAAATTCTGAAGTGAAAATAACATGTTGATATTTGAACGTTTTGCCTTTTGATGGGACTTATACCATAATGAAAATGTGGATTTTGAACAGCTAGATTAAGCACAAGTGTGCAGTATTTGTTGTATGATAAAACGTGAATGCATCATCAAGTTATGTTTACCACAGGTTTACTTTACCTTAAATATTATTCATTTTGGTTCCAATTTAAATGCTTATTATTGTTTCGTATATCAACTTGTTTGTACTTTTGATTATATATTTTTGTTTGCGTAGGCTTTAGTGGCAAATATTTCAGGTGAAGTGTGCTGCTTGTTTGTTTGTTTTGTTTAGCTGTATGTTTGTTATGATGTCTTGACTCTGTTTGATTTAGGTACTTCTTAGGAAGTCCCCTAGGGAGTACCCTAAAACATACTATGGGCTGCATAATATTTTTTTAAAAATATATTTAATATTTGAATTTTTTTTTGTGACATATTGCAAAATCAAAACAATTTATCATAAGATTTCTACTTCACAAATAAAGTGGTTATCAGAGGTTACTATGTCAAATTAATGAAGTCCATACCTGAGAAATGTACAGTAAAGCTCCTGAAATAACTCTACATCCTCTTCAATATTTTTAATACAATTTTTTCATCTTTACAATGAAAAATATTTTTTTTTTCATCTTTGCTAAAACTACATATGTTATTGTTTACGTGTTGATTATATATTTTTGTTTGCTTAGGCTTTAGACTGTGTGAAGTGTGCTGGTTGTTTGTTTGTTTTATTTAGCTGTATGTACTCGGTTTGATTTAGGCACATCCTTTCAGTACAGCAGCTGACTCTGAAAGGTCAGAAGTTCGCATGTCTCATTATAACCCTGGGCTATTAACTTGAATGAGAGGCAAAAAGAATCAAAGTCGAGCAGTCTTGTGCATCTGGGGTGAAAGAGGAGAAAGTTAAACAGACATCTGTCAACGCTGATGAGGCTGTAATGTATACATTTTAGCACCAGTTCCATTGTCCAGAAGTCACTAGGATTTGGCTAAGAGTGAAACACAAGCTCAAGGTATTTTCAAGTAATAATCAGTAATAATTGCAAGATATCCTTTTAAACTTAAACTATAAAAACCGCTGGGTTACACATAATTCATTCATGTTGTCCCAACACAAATAAAT